CCTTCATAAAAAGGACTGAATTTGTATTTTTGGAGCATACGTTGGAAGTTTAATACAGTCTAAACTGCAGTCTACCATAAGCTCACCCAAACAGAGAGCAAGAAAGCATTGCAAGAGTCAACAAGATCAAAACCACAGCTCAGCTGAGTCACCCTTTGCTCCTAGTCACTGGGCACCTGGTAGCTAGAGGTACTCTGCACCAGGGACAGACTCAAGGAGTGGGAAATGATACATTCCTTCTACAGCTTTTGCAGGTCAATCACCTGCAAGTTCTTGACAGAAAATGTCAACTGATTCATAAAGCACAGGCAACTGTACAAGACTAATTTGAACTTATGTACAAAGCATTCATTACATCGCAATTGTTAGACAGAGCTAAGGAGCAACAAGGTTTCCGCATTTATGCAACCCCTGAAATATTCCTGTGAGCAGAGAATGTAATGGGCAATAGCTATGCAAACGTACAGCCACTGCTGGGGAAACTGCAGTCTGGCCATGGGAGGTGGAATGGTGCACGTAGCCCAGCAGTCCCAAAGGGCAGCCGAGATTTCAGTTACACTCAAACTCTGCTTTGGTTTGTGCAAAGTATTAATCCTGTGCATGCAGCTTTGAGACGTAGTCTGCATTCTTGAAGGAACTGTTACTCTGTGCTTGGCAAGACAACATTGGAGGAACTTTCTAGAATTAGCAAGAAAACAGAGGTAAACAAGGCATTTTTCATGAGCACTAGTTACCCTCACAGGTGCAATGCCAAGGACTTTGCTAGTGTTCCAAGGCAATGCACTTCCTCAGCACTGTTGTAGGTTTTCCATTTGGTACTTGCTGAAGGAAGCTACCATTGATTAGCAAACTATCTGAACTTTACCCACGTGACAATGTAGAGGAACTTTTCCTCCCAGGCTTGGTGTCTGGGAAGCACTACCCACTAACAATATTGAGCATAACCCCACGATTCAATATGAATGTAAGTGCTTAACTGCTCCTTTTCTTTGTCTTCCCTGCTGTTAAGTTCAAGGAAATCTGACAGCACTAGGAAACAGTAAACCGGCATGCCCAAGGTTGAAGGCATCAACTCATTTCCTCCAACATGGTCAAAACACACTCTTCTCCATTTGGCAGGTTCTACCCACACACACTCTTAACACTAGTTTTTCTTCACAGATCTCTATTTTAAAAGTAAAGTTCCCTGACTCTCCAGATCTATGTAACATAAGCAGCTTAATGCAGAAAGAACTAGTGGAAAACTGCCCTATCATTTTATAGGTCCTGCTTCATAGCAACTTCTGCAAAAACAGCCAAGCACTTTTTACTGCCACTTGTCTATCGCCAGTCAGTAGTACTTCTAAAAGGGCTGGAAAAGCTGGCTACAAACCAGGTTCTTTCTACTTGTCTAGAAGACCTGGTTTTAGCAGAGGTAGGTAGGAATAGGTCAATGAAGAGAGAATTAGAAAGTAACATTTGAGATGTAGGTTAGAGTCTGGATATTCTTCTCTACTCTTCCCTTAATGTATGTTGCATTGTTTTTCTTTGCTCTTGCAATAACCATGTCAAGCTACTCACTTTTAAGAACTGGATCCTAGTAGGCTGCAAATGAGGCATGGTATTAGTCAGTTGTCATTAACAGACAAAGTAACTACAAACATGGGCCAAAAGGCACAGTGATTTGCTGCAAGAGTCAAGGAGATGCTTCACAATAGAACTTCAGGTGCCACCTGCGAAGGCTGGTAGACACAACATGAACCTACTGGCAACACTTGGTCACCTCAACCTCAAGCTCTGCAGTCAGCAGAAGCAGATATAAAGTCTAACTTTCAGGACATGATTTCACTTCATTTCAAAATTTAACCGTGGAATGAATAATAAGCATGAATGGAAAATACACGTTTTAAGCCCAGAAAAAATTCACAGTATCTAATCAAGTCTCAGCTTAATTTTTCTGTAGCCTATTCTAAAAGCTTTTCAGCTTGTGGACATTAAGAATACAGCTACAGTGAAATGTGTGTAATAGTTTGAGTGCAGTCCTACCCCAAACAGCAGACAACCAATTAACAATGAAGTACAGAGTGTGAGAAAAGTTGAAAAGCCCTCATTCCCAGATTTTTACCATTTTTTATTACTGTTTTAAGATTAATTCAAACAGAACTTCTGGACTTTTTCTTCCAAATGGCCCTCTCCTTTAAAAGCAACATTAAGACTCAATATATGTTTATATAAAATTTACCTTAACTTCCCTCTTCCCAGATTCCTGTAACTAAAAAAATTAATATATAAGCCTTACACTATGAAACCTTTAGTGGTCCTCATTCTGCTTTATCTTCTAAAGAAAACAAAACTTTAGTTTATTGTGTTCATGTTCATCATTTGAATTTTTAGAGTTTGCTTACAGGGCCTTACTGAAATCCAACTTCTGGCACATTTTTGTATGCAACACACCTAAATGACCCAGTTAAAAAACCCAAAACAGTTCATTGTCAAGATTTTAAAGTTTACCAGACTGAGCCTCTCCCAGATTCCTAGCATCAAAATTCAACTACACAGAAAGAAGAAGGATAGAGGAATCAGCCAGTTCCCCCACTGAGGACCAGAGCTGATTAAGCCATAAAGTAAGTTGAGGGGTCCTGCCAACATGACTGAAGTTTCAGTAATTATCAAATGGCTTTTGGAAGAATCCACAGCCAAACTCCATGATTTTCCATAATTTTAAAAAGAGGGTATCAATTTCAAGAGATCTTCAGTTCCAGCTAAAACACCTGCACTCACATTTCCCTGCTCACTTAAAATTACATTGAAGGTTCCTCTCCACCATTAAAGAAAACTTCGCAAACAAGAGTAGATAAAAACAGAAATGTAGACATCATCCAGAAAATGCCACCAAACATACAAAGCAGAGAGGAAGATAGTTTCCTCCCAGTTTTCAGTTTTAATTTATACACATATTTCAAGAAAAGAGCAATTAAAAATGTGTTCCTCGAAATTAAGTTGCCTGTATGTGCTGAAAGGAACATGGGTTTTTAAAGTAGTCCTTCCTTACTAAAAGCAGCTCCTTCAGAAATGCTTTATCTCTCAGCTGTATACAGGAGTGCAATCACAGTCATTATATATCTGTGTATGTCTTTTTAAACCTATTACTAGATATCATTTGCCCTAGAACTGTAAAAAGCCATGCAGGTCTCCAACAAACCTATCCTACCAGCAGAAGCCTTTAATTTCCATGGATGCAGAACATGAATACAAAGAATTAATGAAGTATCCCAAGGAAAAAAAAGATTAGTTCCTACTCTAAAACAGACAGCAAGTTACCTGTTTTTATGAAGAAATCCACTGAGATTTAGGACTGCTTCAAAGCAGTAACTGAAATACAACTGCAGCTATAATACATAACCTTCCTGATCCATAACTGATCCTGGCTTCCATCTTAAAAAAAAAATCACAGTAGCTGAATATATGTGTGAATATACACACACAAAACATTTTATCAGAGGTTAATTAACTGTGTTAGATCTGAGCTTATACACTATAAATTGTAGCCTGTGTTCACAAGTCTCTACCCCATCAGTTCTCAGGCTGGCATAGTAGTGGAAAACTTCATCTAACGCACTGTTCAGGTGGCATTAGAATCTCACGTTTTCTGTTCACATGTTGCTCAGCTGAACAGGTACCTCTGATAATGGTACAGCTTCCCCCTCAGTTAAGCATGCAAAATGTATAAAATGGCAAGATGATCAAAATATCCCCTTGAATGCCCAACTGTACTGTTTCAACAGACTGCTGCCAAAGCTTTAATACCACAACACTAATTTTCAACATTTTCAAACTTGATATGAAAATTGCATTTTATTATTACACAGAGTGTAACAGTCATTGGTCATTTGCATTCATTCACCCCAGCACTAGTGAAAAGCTGCCTTCTGAATAGGGATGAGAAAACATGGCAAGTTTTGTTATCAAGTTGTGTCTCTGCTCATCTTGCCCTAGCCAGTGCATGGAAGGTAGGTGAGCAGAAATGCAACAGTCTACCACTACACCCCATGTTCTCACATACACTGATGTCATGCATATCTCAAAAATATAGAAGGTCAGACATGCAGCAAAATGTGTTAAAGCACTGTAGTATTTACTCAGAAAAATCAAAGCAGAAAAAAATGTTTTGTGCTTACACTTCAAGTTTCAGAATAACATTATTTCTATCAGAGTATCTGAAGTCTACTGGAAGGAATGTTCCACTGAAATTGGAAGAAAAAGACACCATTTAAAGAACTAGGAAAATAAGCATTGGTCAGTACTGCCTTCCAAAGGTTCATAATAAATAACAAAACAGCAGGAACATGCAGACCTTAAAGTCAAGATTTGTTTCTAGATTCATGATACGTAAAAAAAGTTAAAAATCAAGAACAACCCTGGCTGTCTTTTCCACATTTGGGGTCTTTTTGGCTAAACAACTATTAATTTATTGTAAGGAACACAGGTATTGTCAGAAAGCATTATTTACAGAATGATTATCAGATTGATTACATAAAATACAGATGAAAATATACACCTTCAGGTTTGAGATAAGCCAAGCAAATTCACTGCTGATAACTAAAGCACTTTGAATAAGGTGATGTGCACCAAACATCAAAACTGAATCACAAAGCTACTGAAAGTAACAGACAAATTGGGGAAGGCAGGGGTAAAGCAAAGATTAATGAAATTGGAATGATTTATAATTAATACTAGTATACCACAAAACATGGAGCTTCATTAAAATTCTGTTTTACCATATATAAAACTGAAAGGAAATCTTTACTTCCATACTGTGATTCCTTCAAGTACTGAGCAGCTGTTTTTTTAATGCATCTATGTAATGCTCTACATCTTACAAAATATATCCCCACATTTAAGTGCATGATTAGAAACTGTGCTGAAATCATGGAAAAAGCGCTTCATAAATCATAGGCGCAATAAAGTCACAACAATGCTCAGCTCCAGTTTTTGGAAGTAGTTCTGTAAAAGGTGAAGTTTTAGAAAAGGGACTTTGATCCCTGGTTTTCGAACTCTGACCATGCATCATTCAATTCCATGAAGATCATTTTGGCATACTGCTCATAAGGTTGTCCTGTGGCCTGAAAAAAAACCAGAACATATTAGAAGCATAAAAATATTAGGAATTATGTGACTTGGGAAGGATCTTGCCCCTTTTATATTTGCTACCTTGTTCAATAACTTTAGACTGCTATGTGAATATAATTTTGCAGACACACAGCCCTGCCCAGTCTTATCCAAAGTTTGCCATAAGTATTTTAAACAAAGCCAAAGCCTTGGTTTCCTTACGTTACTTCAGACTTCTAGTGCAACTCATGAATAACTGGAACTTAGCTAAAAACAGTTTTCCAAGTTGTTCTTTTCATAAATAGTTTTAGTTAATATTAGTTGATGATCAAATCTGGTCATTTTTGGAATTGCTTCCTGACAGACCTTGCAGTGGTGTACCAGAATAAAATTTAAGCACTATTTAAGAAGACTCCTTCCCTGCCTCTGGGCCAATCCAACCCCAGTGGTTAGTAAAGATCAAAGTCCCTCCAGATGAGATGAGACATTTTAACAGGTTCTTTCCAATACAAAAGTGAAGCCCTAGTGCCCTCTCCAGTATCCTTCCCCTTCTCCTGCTACTGGGCTTTTGCCAGCTGCAGTACTTTATAGACCCATTTAGGGGCAGAAAAGAAACCAAGAAAGAAGAAAGTGCCTCAGAGACGTGTTCTGACACTGATGCATTAAGGGGCTTACAGAAAGCACCAAGAAACTACCACAAAGGTGGAGGAAACCACATGGCCGACAACAGCAAAGGACAAGGGTAAGAAAAGAAAAGAACAAGATCTTGTTTCTCTGTTATGGATATAACACAACATAGGACAGACTACTGCTCACTGAACCACTAGTGAAGGCAATCCCAAAAATTCAAACAAGGTGTATTCAACGCTTGTCTTTATATCTATCTAAAACACAGCCTAGAGCGATGACTCAGAACAAGAAGCTACCTTCATATACTGAGAGACTAACAAACAGCAATGGAATGCATTAAATATTTTTAAAAGACAACTGCAATGTCATATTCAAAGTATTTTTCAACTGCTGATTTGTTTAGTCTAGTAAAGTTTACTTTTTCTAGTTCCTAGTAAAGTTGTTTAGTAAAGGAGGTTGAGCAGGTTTTTCCCACCAGTTTTGCTGTGGCAGCCTCTGAGTCTTCATATACTGGTGAGTAGTCCTAAAAGACCTGAAGTATCAGCTGGTAGAAATAAAGCAGGTTCCACTAACCAGCATTAAATCTGCCAGAAGTCAGTCAGAACCCAGCATAACTGAATTTGGTGCTCAGTACAACCTTTACAGGATCTTTCATTTGTTAACATTTGTCTGTCGAATTCTGTGCTCTGTCAGGATGACAAGAAAAATCTTGTACTACCTGAATGCAGTAGGACACCAAATTCACCAAATTCAGAAGCCAATGGAAGCAAACTGAAGAGCATCTAGGGTGCTGATCAAGAAGCAAGGCTGCAGTACAGGTCAGTGAGTAGTATGGTGTGGTAAAAGCAGTTTGCATTCCTTCTAAAGAAAAGATCAGAGGAACACACTCACCTTATCTGGATGAACTACAAGCACTGCTTTCCTGTAGTACTTCTTTACTTGTTCAGGAGTTACTAGATCTGCCATGCTGACTGGTTTCCACTTATTTTCCCCTTCCCAAAGCACGGTATGAAGAGTGGATATTAATGCTCTGATATTTCTCTCCTTTCCTTCAATCCATTCAAGAATCTAGGAAAAACAGAATGTATAGAACTGAATGCATCACTGTAAGCATTCTCAGTCTACCTAGAGACATAACCTTCACTCTGTACAAGACTACAAGATTAAGACCCAAGTACAGTTGTCTTGCTGCATTCAGCCCCCAAGTCCAACTGTCTTACTACATTCTTCTTTCTGGCATCCAGATCATTAGCCACCCAAAAGTGACATTTTGCATCTGCCACTAGGGAATAGCTCATTGTTATTAGTTTATTGCAGAAATTCAGTCATTGCAAGAGTAATTTCTGATAGTTACATATTACAAAACTCTATATAATTAATGACAAGAGAATTGACAGGAGTAATTAAAAACATCTGTTACAATTAACATTAGTAAACTAATGTTGTGCCCTGACAGGGAGTTAAAGTTCTTGATTCATACAGAAGTTTCAGAGGACATACATTAATAGTTAATGTTTCCTTAAGCAACGTGAAGGGGTGCACAAACTAAAGTGTTCTTTCAGATATCCCCATGAAAGTTGGTTAGAATAACTGGCCATTTCACAGACTAACTGCAGTATTCAAGCCACTGTGATATAGTGATACAGTGTCTTCATTAAACACTGTTATGTAATATGAAAATCTCTGTCTTCTGTTAGCAGTGAGTATGGTAAATAAAATCCTGTATTTATTTCTATTTATGGTGATTTGTGTTAAAAGTTACCCATATGAGCTGTGCACACTCTCTTCAGGTAAGACACTTTGTGAAAACAAATTTCAGCATCCCTCCAAAAGTTCCTTCATGAACTTTTCTAAAGCACCATAAAGACTACAAAACTGAAAGTATATTACTATGTGATGCTATGAGTAATACAAAGAAATCTGAACAGCTGATCAGGTAACAGCCCACAGACTAGTTCTATAGCCCATGTCCAGAACTGCATCCTTTAGTAATTCCTTAGGACAGCAGTAGCACACGTTAACCAGCAAATGCAAGTAAGTGATCACCCTGGAGAGAGCTATTCTCACCTGCCTGTTTTTTTAAGTGTAGTTTTGTATTAATTGGCCAAATCTATCTTTTCTAAGGAGACCAGTGGGAAAACTAGATGTAAAGAACAGTTCTGTCTTCAAGAAACGGACTCTTACAAGAAAACAGGTTCTTAAATTCTCCAAGATTAGCTGAAACAAACAGGAACTTGCATTCCCATCCACACACTTTTTGTGCTGTTGTCACTGCTGCTTCATTGCCAACTGACTCTTGTTTATGCTAATTAACGTCTATAGTCATATGATTTAAATACAGACAAAATTTCATTCTGCTTCAGTTTGCTCTGTTAGTCATTGTATCCTTCTGCTCTGTTATCAGTAGTTCGAAGTATAAGCTCAGATTTACACTTAAAAACACTGCTAAACAAACCTTGAGTTTCAAGGGGTCCATATCTTTAGACATTTCTTGTTTTCTCATCTCAGCAATGGTCTTTGGTCCCTTTTTATCAGATTTAGCTGAAAACCCTTGATTGGATAAGAGATCCTCAAAGTCATTTTCTGAAACTTTTGGCTTTTGACCTATAAAAGGAGAAAAATATTAAATGAAAAGTGATATAGGAGAATACATTAATGGGGCAAATACATTGCACTTAGATACACCTGCATGACATTTCTCACTACCATGATAAATATTCTTCAGTGGCCTGATAAACTCCACAAGACTAACAGAAGGACAGGAATGAAAGGGATCACTGACAAGCTTTCAGTCCAGCAGAACAGATAACCTCATGTGCATACATGTGACTAAATACTTGCATGTCCTCTTTTTTTCAAAAATGGAGTAGATTCAAGGGAGTACCCATCTACCTATTAATGATTTTGGAAATGGTTCCATTTTTCCACTATAAAGTAATTCTAACTACTGTGCAGCCGTTTTTCAAGTGACCATACACTCAATACTCTAGTCAAAAGTATGTAGTCAACATTTAAGTATATTGAAACTTATGCAGAATAATGAAGGAATAAAACATCAACATGAATAGCCATTATGGAACCAACAAATTTTAGAGAACTGTAGAATAACTGAATTCTGAAGAGGATCTCATCTAGTCCAATCCCCACTCAAAATGGGGACAACTTGATAAATTTCCCAGGTCCTTGTCCAGTTGAGGTCCACCTGTTTTCAAGGATGAGGAATCACAACATCCCTTGCCCTGTTTCAGCATTTCATCATGCTAACTGAAATTTTTTTCCCCTGTTCTCCAGTCAGACTTCCTGTGCTGCAGCTTATGCCCACTGCCTCTCCATCCTGTCAAATCCTTTCAGATACAGATCAAAAGAATCATTTCAACTTACAGAAGTGCCTGCTGTCCACTTATATGCCAGTGAAAGGGAGGCATAATCCTAATATCAACCCACCAGGAAATTAAAATTTTCCAAGAAGGTTAATGTAGAAGAGGCCATGCTAATACCTGTATCTCTAGGTTTGCCTACTCAGTTGGAACATCTTAAGGGACCGGTTCCAAGAACAATTCCACCTGCTCCTGTCCCCATCATTGTTTGAAACAAGAATTGCCAGTAAGTTTAACCTCAGTCTTTAACACTAGCCACTATTCTTCAGCTAGGAAAAACGTTGCATCCTTTTACCTGTGTATCACAAGCAGACTAGCATGAAGCCACGTTATCAACCATCTCTCCCTGGATGGATCAAATTTACCTTTCTAACCCAGTGATACAAAACCAGTACCCACATGGGTGAGTAAATATAGCCTTGAGACTTTATGCCCAAACTTGCAAATATTTGGGCCATGGTCAGCTTGTCTCTGCAATACCCTAGTGTAGCTTTGCAAAAGCAGGACACCAGATTTGCCAAGCTCTTTTCAGATTTCTACTAGATACAACCTAAACGTAAATAAAAAGACAAAGGTACAAGAGTTTCTGCAGCTAATCGCACAATGGACTAACTGCACACAGGCCATAAATAATGCCTTCAGAAACTTACCAAAGCTTGGGGTTCTGACTCCTCTTTCCTCTCGTCCTCCAATAACACTGAAGTTTACTGTGTAATTGGGTTTAGCTGCTGTGCTGGATTTAGTCTGGGACTGCCATGAAGTACTTTGTGGTTTTGTGGATTTCTGCCACTGATTTCCTGACTTCTGAGATGGAGCAGTCTTCTGACCAAAGCCACTACTCGAGAGTCCACCACTGGAGGAACCTAACAATAAAGACTAAATTAGTTGTTCAGTTTGGTATCTGCCACCTGTTTAATACAAATAAGACAGTTTGGTCCTGATATCTAACCACGTAGTTCACAGTGATACCACGATACAAGACCAAGTGTAACAGAAAAGTGTGTAAAATGAAGTTAAGAGTCTCATTAACAAGTAACTTGGATGGCAGGAGCTAGAGCCATTACTGAAAGTCCTCCAGCCTCTTACAACTCAAGCTCCCAACTGTCAGTTTTAGCAGAAGCATTCACTCTTGTCTGACTGGCCAGTCCTGTGTAAGGCCAGAAAATAATTCAGCAGTGGCAGTAGTTCTGCCTCCCAATTCATTACACTTCAACATCTGTTAATATGCAGAGGACACTGAAAAACTAATTATATGATCAAGAAAATGTAATATATTGAGAATATTTTCAAATGAGTGCTTTCAAAGTGTCTAGTGATTTCTTGTACTACTGTTTAAGAAAGACAAGGTGATTATTCTGCAGCAGCATTAGCAGGGAATGTTGCACATGAATAAAAGAAGCACTGAAGCCTGCCTGTTGTAACCACCATGGTGTGATCCATAGGCCTCTATCAACATAATATTGACTAAATTTTTAGTATCCCGTTTCTCTTCATTAAACCAGTATAAATAACACTGCTTAGGAGCTTCACCTGCTACTCACTTTGGGAAGAACACACAGGGCTTTTTCTCCACTCAACAATACTCACTGTAAACAAATTGAGCAGAATAAAGCTCCAACCTTTTAAATTCATTACTCAGCTTTTTGTCTCACTGATGAGAATAAACCAGAGATTTTTTTATTCTAAACCAAGCCACCATTAAATTGCCCTTAATTGACTTCCTTTGGAAAGATCCCTAGAAACTCAGTTGCCTTGACAAGTTGCATATACCTAGCATATATTCATCACAGGGAAAAAATAGCATGATGACTGAATTTAGATAAAGCTTGACATTTTGGAAGAAAAACATTTTATACCACACTTATAGCATCCTAAAGCCAATTAAGACCTCTTCATGTTGGAAGAATTCCCTAAAAATGACAGAACACAATTCAAAACTAGTGGTCAAATATGGTTACACACCTGAATCCAGCCAAGAAGTATAATATGAATGAAATACTGACACTTCAAAACTAGAAATCTTTATAGCTTGGTCTTGAATGACAAACTTATGATCCTGTCTCATTATTTTCTTGGAGGAAGATGAATTAGTATTTGCATCTCCACATACGTTATTAATCAGCTGCTGCTCCTTAGAACCTAAGCTTCAGCTCAAACATACTCCGAGCCAGTATAAACTTAACTGCTGTTCTTTTTATTTTTCCCCCCTTGTATTCACCCTAAAGCCTCAGAAAAACCACCCAAGCTTGTCAGGGTATACACAGCAATGTAAACTCTGTTTCCTCTGTCAAAACTGGTTCCCCACACCTTGGCTCTCCTGATAGCTCTTTTTATAGCTACTGCTCATACTTATAACAGCTTACACAAGAGGATGTCTCCCCTGGGCCACGTACAAGATACCATACTATACCTCTAAATACCACACCTGATAAAACCTAGCATTGCAATACACCACCTGATAAAATCTAGGATTGCACTGTTTTTTCATGAAAGCACTCAACTACATAGTCAACTCCGTCTTCAGTCACTTCTAACTTGTGAAATTTACAGAAAAAAATCCCTGTTAAGAGTACATGACCTCGCAGACTGAAAAATAGTATCAGTCTACTACTCTTTCAAAGCATTCTACATTCATTATTTCAGTCTTCAAGGCCAACCAGTTCTTCCTGTAGGACAAGCCATTGCCTCACTATCAGCAGGCACTTTTCAACACCA